TTTTTTCGAATCTAACGATCGTAAAGAAATTTTATTTTTTCGTCGTTAATTCAGGATCACCTGAATATATTCCTACAATTTTAACCTAATCGTAAATTTTTTTTAAAAGTGTCACTTTTTTTACTTAAAAAAGCTCTATTCTTCAATTGTCAACGAAAAGCATAAAATAAATGTTTAAAATTGCAGATACAATGGCGGGAAAACTGTGTTGCATTTTCTTATACAGTTTACCATTTATTGTTACATAACCTGTATCATTTATGTGACACTTCACTCGAGAAGTGTTCCTTAAAATATTTCTGTGAATTCATCGCCCATAATCACGTCTTAAATCGTAGCGCCGAGCGACTATTGCACCGAAAAGGTGAATTTCGACAAAACCCCTGAGTACAGTTTCGGCTTGAAACCTGTACTGGACAAAGCGAGCGATATTCCTGGTAATTAAACATAACGCAACAATAAATCTTGCATCTATATGACTCTACCTTTTCAGAGACTAATCGATAAATCACTAATAAACATAATATAGTTAATCGATCTGTTACGTTTTGAAATACAACTGCCTCGCAGAGTTAACACGCAATTTAATAAAACTAAATCGGTATTAAGGTAAAACTGTTCTTACTAATTGCGTGAACGATATATCGAAATAATTCAAAACATTTGAATTATTGTTACATTCCAAAGAAATTAATAGTTTTCTTGTATCCCCAACTTTATCTTAGTACCATAGAAAGAGAAAGAAAAAAGAATTAATTCTTTCTTTTGGAAAGAATTACTATTAAAAAAAGATACGTTCATTATGCGAAGAAAATGATTTCTTAGGAACTTCAACGTTACGTTGGTTGTTTAGCGATCGCCTAAAATGGACAACTCTGCGCATACGCAGACGTAGCTGTTCCTCGAAGATTAAAGAGTTCTTAATTGTTTAGGTACTGCATCTTGGATCTTACCTTTGAATGACAATCATACTGTTTCTGGCTTGTTATTTTATTTTGCACTTGTAGCTTGGTAATCTTCAATTAATTTTGCATCCCCGCTATTCGACTTTCTTCTTGAAGTAGAGTAGAGTAGTTTTCTTTCGTGAGTAGATTGGAACGAATGAAAATTTTGCTTGCAACGATAATTACATTGCATGTATGTATAATAACTTGTATACGTGATATTTATATAATATCGTATTCTAAAATCAAGAATAATTTTTTCTGATTGTAGTAAATAATTTAATTTTCCAATATAGTTTCCTACTATAAGACAATTTTTTGTAATTGTTGAAAGTGATTTTTTTAATTTCATTTTCGCGATAGTAGTATTTATTAAATTATCTCTCCTTTTTATTACCATAGTTTATTATATATACTTTAATTTATTATGTTAACTAAGAGTGAAATTAAATTGGATATTTGAAATATGTTGATTTCATTTATTGTAAAATTAATAAAAGCTATTTTTGGTTACGATACCAGCGCCCGGAACTTACTGTCCGGAGAAGGTAAGATTGGACAATGCACCACAATTCACTTTCGGACTTAGGCCTCACCCCGAAAAACCGAGCGATACCCCAGGTAATTATCGAAAAGTTCGCTCGATTAAAACTTTATCGGCCAAATTGCTGCTGGCAGTTGTCGTGAGAACTACCAACCAGAGATTAACTTAATATTTTTTATGATTAAATTCAAATTACTAACAAAAGCGAAATATTAACAATTTAAAAATTGCAGAACAATGAATTTAATAATCACACGAAGAAATAATTTTAAATCATTTTTTTATTTAATTACATGTACGGAAACTAATTTTGTATTAAATCGAATTTATTTGCTCATTAATAAAACAAATTTATCCACATTCTAGTCATCAAAATACTCTTCAGTATACTGTTGTTCATGTCCTTCATTTCAATGTACATATGTATATACAGAATAGCCCGTAAGTCACCTTGCTATTTAAAAAGTGAATAAACTATTTTCAAGATCTGAAATAAAAAGTTTTAAACATATAATAGAAAAAAAAGTTATTCAATTTTTAAATGATAAAGGAACTTATGGGTCACCTTGTACATATCATCATAATTCCTCGTAAAAATATGACAAATTTTATCGCAGACCCACGACATGCCATATGTTTGTTTGGCTGACAAAGTGATAATTTGCTTTTGTGACAAAGAATGTTATTTGCATTATCACTGGCATGTGTCAACTTACTTTTATAGCACCTGGTACCTATAGCCCCGAAAAAGTCAATCTGGACAAGGGTCCTCAGTACAGTCTCACGGGAAAAGGTCGCGTAGAAAAACCTGACAACATCCCTGGTATGTAGATTTCTTTTTAATATAGCAATCTACTGTCGACAAATAATTCTCATACAGTTGAAAGTTGCAAATAATATTTGTAATTAATTTAAAAATATACAGATATGTTAATATTTTTAATCAATGACATACTTTCCTATACAAAAACGTACAATAAAGTGTGTTTTCATAGTACAAGAGTATGAAATTTTAGAAACGAAAAAATATGTATGCTTAAGGCGGTAAATATGATATTCTAAATGAATATTTAAAAAAAGATTTTTTAAAATAGCTTTTAACCAATTATCATATTCTTATCTAGTAAAATGCCACTAAAAACAATCTCTATTTCTTTAAATATTTTTCTCATAAATACGAGAGTAAAAAAAGCAAGATAGTTTTACGAACACGTAACAGCAATGCTCATAGGGTGTAGTTTACAGAATATTCGCGCATCACCTGTGGTCGATTTCCAAATATTGTCCTTCCTTAAACATTTATTTCCAATACAATACCACTGTAAAGATGCTTAACTTCAGACAGGAAAGATTCAAGAAGTATATTTTTATTTTAATAAAAGAAATTATTCTCAGCGCCAGGTACGTATTG